TCCAGCCTCGAAGCAGACTTGTAGCTGGTATTAAACATATTTTAGTGGGTTGTGCAATGCAGAATCCTTGCTCTGCAGTCTGTTTTAGTGTTTCTTTTTCTCCCTGTGCTTCTGCACTTTTTAATGTCAGCACTCTGTTACTGACTGTGCTATTTTGTGAGACGTGATGCCCTGAGGGGAGCTGGGGGTCGTTTCTCCATCACTAACGTTTGCCACTTCGGGGAGCAGGATGCAGGCTCACCATTTTTCATGTTAGGAGATGAAAAAATAACTTTTTTTTGGTGGAAATTGCGGGGAGGAGGCAGAATGCAGCGACCTCAGCTGCATCGCAGCCATGGTGAGGAGCAGCTCCTGCAGGAAAAAACCAAAAATGCACTGGGATGGTGAATGCCAGTGAAGGGTCCAGCACCAGCTATTCCTTGGCTGCAGGCTGGTCTGAGCTCACATCCCACCAAACTCTGTGACAGCTCTGCTGGCAGGGTGCACTCTCCCGTTGGTGTTTGACAGTCCATGACAGGATTATAAAGAGCTGCTGCACCTACAGGCAGAGAAATGCTACAGGTCCTACATTGCTGCAAATCACATTTAGGCTTGTGAAGCCCATCTCATCCAAAGGCTTCAACTGGATTAGTTATTTTTAAACCCCACAGAAGGAGTGTTAAAAATGTGCTTTTTCATGCAAGCAGCCTTAAAAAAAAAAAAAATCCATGCTTTATGTTCTGAGGTGCTTTCTCATAATTTCCCCATCCCTTTGCTGCCTACACCCCAACATGGTATGAAAATGACTTTGGAGACAACACAAAGGGCTGTTTCTGCAGCTTGCTTTTTGTAAACCTTAGAATTTTGCTTTTCTCTTTTGCTGAAACTCCAGTAAGCATCTAAGATTTCAATATCTGATTTAAGAGAGAATTACAGCTCCTGTGATATCCCTGTACAGAGCCACTGGCTGGTGCTTACTGATAGGTTATTAATAGCTGCCAGTGGGGAGTGAAAATAGATGTCCTCTGGTTTAGGGTAAAATCTTGAAGGGGTAACTGGCTGTGTGACATGAACCGAGTCTCTCATACGTGCAGGACAAACCTTATCAGCTCTTGCAGCTTGCAGAAAGGTTTGCTGCTGTGTTTGTTAATGGGTCTGGCTGGAATCCAGCACTTGGGGCTTTGGGGGCTGCCAACCCCTTGGCCACAGGCAGGTGCTGTGGTCAGCCACAGATCCCCTCCCTGGCTGCTCGGGGATGCACTCGGGGATGCTGGGCTGTGCCTGAGCCAGCCTGGCTGAGCACGGTGCGCTGGCTCCAGAGGGCTTTGGGAACCTGGGATCACCAGGGCAGGGAGGAGAAACCCCAGGAGCTGCACCCCAGCCTCACCCTCCTGATCCAGAGCCATGGGGTGGCTGCAGTGACCCCAACCCATGGGGAAACCTCCTGGAGGGGCTTTCTCTGAGCTGGAGAACTGTGGGAGCTTCTCCTCCCTGTTTTTCACCCTGGAGTTGATTCTGCATCTCCCCTCCTGCCTCACACCAAGGTCCTCGCTCAGCAGCGAGGTCTCCCTCTCCTGGGGAATGGCACACAGCCCGTGCCCTGCTCTGTCCCCATGTCCCTCTGCCATTGCCTGGCTGGGGTCACCTCAGCCCTCCCTGGCTGCAGCTGCTGGCACAGCTTCAGAGGGCTCTCCCTACCCCTTATCTCACAGCAGCCAAAATTCCAGCTACACAAAACCCAGCCACAGACTTATTCAAAACATTTATTAGTGTTTAAGGAAAATAATAGTGTGTGAAAGGTACAGAGCTTTGTCTAAAGCCATATGCATTTTCTTTATTTACAAGCTTATTTGGCTGCAAACTCTACACGAGATAAAACTAGTATGTTTTTCTCCCAGAGATTTGGAATTAAGGACAGTTTGTCTTTTATTTATTTATTTCATTTTTATTTTTCTCCTTTTAGTTCAGCACTGTAAGTTAGGACAGCATTTTCCAGGGTTTACTGCTATCTTTTTTCCTGTAGGCGTTTTGCTTCTCTCGCAGTATTTTCATTCCAGAACAAGGCTCATTCCAGATGCAAAGCATAAAGAAAACATTCATACCTTGGCTTTTAAGCTAAACCTCCTTCATGAACAGCAAGTTCATAAGGAATGTTAATTAAAGCATCATACAGTATCTAAATGGACTTTTTTTTTTCTCCTTTTTTTTTTTTATAAAGAATTAAGGCTATGTAGATGTCACAATAAAATAATCTCAGGTAAAACACACCCTATCTGTTAGATATGAAAGAAAGGTTTAACAATAAATAAATGATTTATGCTGTCAATAACATTATGGAACTGTATAAAACTATATTTACGCAGCTTTAAACATAAAAAAACCATACTAGTGGCATGAATATATACAACACAGGTCATGACATACGTTTAAATTATCATAGCCAGCAGTGTTCTTTTTTTTAAATGGGGACACTATAATAAATAGAAATGTTAAATATTTACAATAATAGCATATGTGGAATCAGTAGATGAACACATAAAATCTTCACACACAGAGGAAAAAAAAAATGATGCCTTATACAAAAATCCCCTCCCACCCACAGCTTGTCCCCCCCCTCCCCAATTTTCATTGACTAAACAAGGGGAATACACAATTTTCCCCACAGAACCAATGAATACAAATAAAACTGTATGCATGCTGAGGTGATATGTTGACTGAGACATTCAAAGATGTAGATCTCTGTTTGGTTCCCATTGATGAATCAAGACCTCTAATGACAGAGGGATCTTATTTTAGTTCAATGCAAGAACATTGGTAGCAAGTTGTTGTTTCTGGTTTGTGTTAGCTTTTTTTTTTTATTTTTTTATTTTTTATTTTTTGTGCTAAAATGCTTGGATTGTCTTTTTGGTTTGAGCTTGTTCTTCGTGGTGGTTCTGTGCCACCAAGGGGGAGAGGACACTTGCAGGAAACCCACGGAGGCACATGCCAGAAACCTTCTTAGGGCACCACCAGCAGGATTTTGGAGCAGAGGAGGTGGCCAAGAGAGTCAGGCCCACGCCAGGGTGCTCTGTGGGGCAGCCTGGGTGTCCCAGGGGTGGCTGAGCTGTCACCAGCCCCACGGGGCAGAGGCCACACTCACTGCACCATCACCGTGGTCTTTGCTGCTACAGCACCTGGCCTGATCCCAGCTCTTCCCACTGAAACCAAATGAAAATTTCATCACAGAACTTTGCTGAAGTCGGGCAGGATCGAGGCCAGGTCTCTAAGCAAAGACCTGGTGATCACAGAGACACCTTTTCAACTCAACTGTCCCCTCTTGCCTCCTACGTGGTCGCTATTTAAAGCAGTGCCTCCAAGTTCTGCGGGTGGATCCCTGCATTAAACCCTGAATGTAGCTATTAGGAGCCGTGCTCACTTAGCAGGAACTGAAATCTGAGTTGGAAATTGTAGCCAAATTCCAACACCCTCCTCTCCTGTTTATGCAGCTCCTTCCCACCATGCAGCAAGACGTACGTTAGTTCATGGGTACGTTCTGTCTCTGCTGAACTGCCTTCCTGCCCCCACAGCTTTCCTCCCAAACTTTCCAAATGAGAAGGCTCCAATCCCCGGTGTGATTCCCACTTTCTAAGAAAACCTCCCTTTTTCCTCTAGAGGAAGCTGAGAGCTCACCCTCCTGTCCCTGTGGGTGCTGCAGCCTCCACTTCCAGTACAATATCTGGGAATATAGGATTGCAGAGCTGCAACCTGAGAATAACAATTGCATAGGGGGTAGGAGAGATATGGCCAAACATCTCATTCACACTTGAAACTGCTTAAAGACAATAAGCTCTTGACACTCTTCACCTTTACTAACTCGTTCTGTGGAGATTGGTTGTCGTTACCTGCACAAGAGTTAAAAAACCCAAGTCAATCCCCTCTCCTTGTCTTTGGCATTTGGATAAACCAAGCTATAGGCAGGTTAGAGTGGGGCTCCACATCCCAGCAAACCACACCACACTGCTAAGGAGAGGCAGGCTTCTGATGGGCCTCCAATGCAGCCCTGAAAAGAACTAAATATATGGGGATTTATAGGGTCCTTTGCTGTCTGAGCCCACACCTGCCCCTTTAGGCTTGGGCTGTAAGGGTGGAAGACCTGTATCACTGAGGGGGCAGATGGAAGCAGAGAATATGCACAGGGTTTTCAGAGGCCCATGAGAATGCTTTTGGGGGTCCTCCACACCCTGTGCAAGTCTTAACAGTCACGTTGCCTTGTCTGGAAGCTGATTACTTGCCTTTGAAGTGACTGGGTATGGTTCTGTGATCAGCAAGTGTCAAGTTATGCAGTTGTTAAAAACTAACAGGGGGCACTTAAAACCAGGCAGCGTCGCCCAGGTGGGAACAATGGCTCAGAAGTTACTTCAGAGAAAGTGGTGGAGCTCCAGACCACATGGTTCCTGTGCCAGAGACGGGGCAGCTCCTTCATTAGAGAGCTTCACACAGAGAGCCCTGAGCTCTGGCGTTCCCAGCCACAGGCAGAAACCAAATCCCCCTGGAATTCAGCCATCTGCTGTGAGGCCGTGCCCTGAACCTTTGGAGGTGCTAAGCCACAAGCAGCCACATGCAGCCTGGCAGAGCCCGCTTGGAACCTTCTCCCCTGCCAAGGAGACCAAAGGGAAAAAAAAAAACCCCCAAATGAAAAAAAAGAAAAAAAACAAACCCCAACAAAAACCCCAAAACCAAACCCAACCCAACAAGATCCTAAATTTCAGATGATGTCCATTTCATTAAAAAAAAAAAAAAAGGGGGGAAAGAATTTAGCCGGAGACATTTTGCCACCCGAGCGCCGAGTTTGCTGGATCGATAACCCATTGCCACTGCTCTCCCTTTGCTACTATATACACACTGATGCCGAGGTCCATAGATATCTTGCAATGCCCTGTGCTTGACCTCTGAATGGGAAATGCTTTGGAATGTCCATAGACAGGAGGATGGAACTCAAGGGAGGAGGTTTAAGGGGGGGAAGGGGGAGCTGGTGCCTCTTTTCACCTCCGGATGTCGGAGAAGTCGGACAGTTCGTCTGCCCGGTCCAGGATCCCGTGGGCCCCTTTGGGACCGTGGCCCCCAGCTTTGACCCGGGCGTTGGAGTGGCCCTTGGTACCTCTCTCTGCCTTGGCTGCTCGTGGGCTCTCCCTGTGCTCGGGGTCAGCGTGGGCCACCATGTCCCCACGGCCAGCACCGGCCCTGCTGCCTTCCCCCACCTTCCTGTCGGCTCCCAGGACGGCGTCCCCGTGCACGGCCGAGGTGCAGAAGCTCAGGATGGAGCAGAGGCTTCCCCAGTTCTGTTCGCACTGGGCCTGGACGCTCCTCGTTATTGCCTTTTTCACCTCCTCGCCGCAGGTGAGCAGGATGTTCACTAGGTCAACGTAAGGCCTGGAGGGAAAGGGGAGCAGTGAGAGAAAAGTTAAAAATCCACCCCAGGGAATCAGTGAAGAATCTGCCTTACCCTCCCTGGGCACAGCAAATCCAGTGGTGTGAGTCCCTGGCACCCCCTGACTCAGCAGCAATTCTGCCCACGTTAATTATGGAAAATCCCATATTCTAATCAGGCATTTCGCTGCAGGAAATGCACAGTGGCATCCTGTCAAAGCCTCTCTGGATTGATCTGGCTTGCTCTCCCCCTGGAGATACTCTGGGAGAACTGGAATGTTCAGCAGAGAACAGATGAGCTCTTGCTTGGCAAGTGGAAGAACTGTCTCACACTTTCTGCCTCCATCTCTTTCCATACCCTCCCATCTTTGTCACTCAGGACACCAAGCAAAGGACACTTGCTCCTGCCCAGAGCCTTCAGCTTCCCCAAGCAGGCTCTGCCTCTGGGTGAATGGCAGCTACAGAGCATTCACCAGCCCCCAGTCTGCGAGAGGGAGGCATTTTCTCACTCAGCTAAAGAGTCTCTGGCTTTCCTCATCATCTCTGGAGCACTGAGTGTTGATCTCCATCACAGGCAAGATCCTATCTGGACCCAGGATCTGCCTGAACAGAGCTCAGACAAATGGAATCCACTTTGGTGGCACTTTTTTCTTCCCACACCAAGTTTTATTTCTTCATTTCCTTACAGAGCTTTCAGTATCCACCTTTTCCCAGCCAAACAAGGCCTCAAAACATGCCCTGGCTGAATCCCCTCTGTGCTTCCCACCCACCCCTGAGTGTCCCCAAGGCACCAGCAGCTCGAGCACAGGCACTTGGGCTTCTCAGCCACAGGTCACCGAGTGCAGCAATTTTAAAATACTTGTGGTCACAAGTTTTGTGGGTCAATATTGATGTTGTCTATTGACACAACTGCTCAGCTGCTTGCAGGCCCAGAAGGACGTGCTTAAAAATCTTCCATGGCAGGAACCAGCCACAGCACAAGGGGAAAGCTGCCCGAGGTCAGCAGTCCTGGCTGTGTGGGGTGGGTGGTGGGGCTGCCCCTCCTGGCCATCCCATCCAGCAGCTCTGCTGCCTGTGGACAAGTCTAAATCTCTTCTTATTAACGTTAAGACAGAAGAGATGAGGAAAACCAACAGATTATCCTCAGTGTCTAACTCTACCAACCACTTAAACTCATTTTGAATCGCTAATCTTGGAGAGCCACCTATTCCCCCTATCTCAAAATATTTCCCATGGTTGGATTGTTCCTACTGCTCAAAAAAAAAAAAAAAAAAAAAGTTACTTGGAATGCAGCAGGGACCAATCTGCCAAGGCCTGTCACCACTTCCACCATAGCAAATCAGCCTGACCCCCACAGCTGACTCAGGAGGAGGCTTCGCTGCCCGACCGCGTTCCGAACACTCATCGGGAGAGAACAGCCAGAGCAAAACAGAGAACAAGCCTGAGAGCTGCCACTTGCTTCTCTGCTCTTAGGTTTTTGTTTTAAATGTAAAGCAGGAGATAAGAGAGAGCTGAGCACGTTGCATACAAAGTGATCCAGCAAAAGGACATAAACCTCCGGCCCTCCCAAGAAATGAGTCCTTGAAATTGGGCATAACCTTTGCAGAAATCTTGGTAAGAAAAAAGGTTGCTGGTATGACTAAAAAGTGGCTCAGCTGCCAAATATTTCAGGTATTCAGAGCCTGCCAGAGCCCTGCGGATTAATACTGGCCCATTTCTCCTTGCCTGTTTTACTTTCTGCATTTCAGCCGGCCTGACCAGAGTACCTGAACTGAGCACAAGGCTGCAAGTCAGCAGACGTGATTTTATTTCCAGCTCTGCCACACTTGCCTATTGATCTCGAACAAGTTCCTTAGTTCAAGAGCTTCAGAGATGGCCTCTAAATTTAGGGGAGGGGAGGAGGCTGGCTGGTTCTATTTGGGGAGTCCCGCATAGGAGAGCCGAGCTCCCACTCCGGGAGATGCTGGAGTGTAGGAAGCGCTAAATGAGATCATGCAAATTATAGGTGTTCAGCTGAATGACCCTCTCTTCTCCAACCAACAACCCCCCAGCTCAGCTCCCCAGAAATAAGCAGCTGCCTCTGAGCATTCCTGCTTGAGCCTGTTCATAAAATAGGGATAACTCACTCCTCCTCGGACAGGCTTTTGGCTCGCACGGTTCTTTTCATCCCCAAATGATGGGGGGGTTAATTGGTGCCAAGTACCCAATTTATAGCTGCTGACACAGCCCAGGCAGTGCCCAGAGAGGTGCTGCTGGGCAGGATGGAGCCCTGCTGCCCTTCTCCCTCAGCCAGCAGGATGCTGCCCATGGCCCTGGGCACAGCAGCTCTGCCCCCAGCCATGCCTTTGATCCCAGCCTCAGGAATGTCCAGGGAAAGGGCTTTGCTTTCAGGCCACCATGTCCAGCTGGAACAAACCACAGCACAGGATTTATGGGAGTGAATTGGCATTGAAACATCTCTCTGCAACTGCAGCTGAAATATTAGTGGGGGGTGGTTTTCAGCACTAAGGGAATCAGAGCACAGCTCTTTTGGGTAGTGAGGAAAATAAAATGCAAGGCTAAAATTCCCAAAGAAGTGATTCTGCAAAAAAATTTGTCTCTCGTGACTGCTGGGATTTGAGTTTCTGTGCTAATATCAAGGCACAGAGGTGTGGTAGGAAGATGCTCTAAGGTTAAGCCTGATGCCAGGCTGTGGCTCAGCCTTCTTGTTTCAGGAGTGAGATGTTCACCTGCAAGAAAAACAGGCTCTGATTTTTGCATTTGTGCACAAAGAGTCAGTACAAACAGCTTGTGCTTGGTTTGTTGCTGTCATGTAGCAGCTTTGATCAATTCCAAGTAGGATTTGTGCCTGCCATTCCTTGGAGGACAGCTGTGCTCCCAGTCAGAGGAATGAAGTCCTCAAAAATCTGACTTGTGCCTTCATTTTGTACAACCCCATGTTTTATTAAAAAGCATCTGAGATTAATAAAGGATAAGATGAATGGGAGATTACCTGGGGGACTGCAGCTCTTTCAGGGACAATTAACTACAAGACATTTCAAAGTATGTATTTAAAGAAGAAATTATCATCTTGCTGACAACTTTGCATAAACCTTCTCTCCCCTTCTCTAGTTGTCACCTCTAACAGGATACTGAGGTCAAAATGATGCCTTTGAGCCCAGAAAACAAAAAAAGCATTGTGAGATGCCTCTGGAAATGGCAGACACCCATGGTGTATTTGCCAGAGCACCAAGGGGACTGGCACATCCAACTCCAACTCATTTCACCTCCTTGCACAGCCACATCTCACCCCTGGTACACAAACCTCAAGGGGCCCTGCAAAGAGAGCTCTACCTTGGTGCTGTACATGGGAAAACAAGAGGTGCTTAAGGCCAGGAGGAGGTGAAACAGCTCTTGGGCAGATGCACAGCCCACTGGCACTCCTGGAAGGAGCTCCCACGCTCTGACTGCACCAGCACAGAGGCACTTACTCGTGCTGCAGCAGGTCTTTGAAGTGAATCATCTCCACAATGACCTGGACGTTCTCCTTGGCAGCAGAGCAGAGGTCATGCTTCAGGTAGCACTCCCGCTGTAACTGGAACACCATCTCTTTAATGGCAGGGCACTTACGGCTGATGCAGCTGAATTTATGCCTCAAGGCATGAGCCTTACACTTCAGAGCGTCTTTAATGAAGGATTTTCCCTGAGAAGGAAAGAAATGGAGTAGGTCTGTATTTTTGTCCATTAAGCACAGCAGCTGATTTATGCCCAGCCAGCTGCTTCTCTGCAGGACAATGTCAAGGGTTATTACAGAGCTAAGGATATCACTGCATGGCTTTCCCCTTCTTCTCTGTTTCCCTGCCCTTAAAGACCCTGCCAAGTCACCCAGCTTTGCTGTCCCAGTGCACTGAAACACCCAGGGCTTCCTCACTGCTACTCTGAGGTTCCTCTGCCCCAACAGCTGATTAGTACTGGCCCAACGAGGGAAAGAGCAAATGTAAGCACCTTGAAGTAATTCAGTGCTGGAGTTACTGGATTAATTTGCTTCCAGGGTGGCAGAACAGCAGGTTCACACAAAGGAGAGGGCATCCTGCCATGCTGAGCTCCTCAGGACCACAAGCAGATACCATTCAGTAACTGCAGGGGTTTTTTTTTATTATTATTATTTTTAAATTAGTTTACAAACTCAGAAACATGTATGGATGTTCTATGTGCACCTGCCCTATTCCCCAGCTATTGATATTTTCTTTCTCAGAGAGGGACTCAAATCAGCACTAATAATAATAATAATAATCATGATCACCATGATCCTACAGTGTCTTCATGCCTGTTGCAGGAAATTCTAAGTGAGATGAAGAAAATGACACCAAGAAGCTAAAATATAAGGTGGAGGAAAGCTGCTTTAGCAGCATCTCTTTAACCACTGTGACTCCTTCACTCAGTTGCTTGGTGGGCATCAAACCTACCCCTTCCTTCCCTCTTTTCTTGGACCCTGCAGCTACAGCTCTGCTCAGACTCCCTGTGCCCTGCTGAGAGCAGGCCCATGGAAGGAAGGCAACGCCTCCCCCTCTTCATCAGCCTCAGATTCTTCATGCAGGTGCTCCATGAAGACCAAAGCCTTGCTCCCCTTTATCCAAGAGTCCACTGCTCCAGCTCCACTGACACTAAGCAAGATTCACCCAGACCTGCAAGCAGATGTTGTTCCCAAATTGTTTCAAGCCAGAAATGTTTCTTGCTCATCAAAGAGCTGCTTCACCCCTTTCTGTTTCCCATACCAAAGGCACTCCCTTGCCCTTCCCTCTAGGAACAAACACACACAGAGCACAGTAGGCAAATAGGGGTGAAAAAGAGAATTCTTATATAAACCCAAACTGACATCAATTCTCAGGTTCCAGAGCAGAAAATGGCCAGTGTTAGTCTTGTCATTTAATGCAGCTTGAAATAACTGGGGATGATACAGAGAGGAGCTGTGAAAAACCATGTCACAGCAGAGGCTAAAGTCACCTTCATGTTAAATAAAGCTCCAGGGGTTTAACTCTCCTGCTCTGCACTGGGGACAGGCTGGGTGTGAGACAGGCTGTGTTTGATGAGCAGTACCTGGGGATCTGGCATCAATGGCTGCTCTCAGCCTCCATAGGCACCATTCCCTGCCTTCCCAACTTTCCTTCCCTACTCCTTTGGTCAGCTCTGTCCACTGACAGAAATATTGTGCAAAAATAAACAAGTGTTTTCTAGAAGCCACTTGGAAATTAAGTTGAAGGTTTTCAGATACCCACAAAAGCAGCAATTCCCATTTTAATGAGTAGCCAGGCCCTTGGTACATCCTTGAGCATTTGAACCTAAATCTCCAACACTCCAAAAAAGTGCTCTCTACTACTGGGTGGTCCCAGCACCCCTTATGGGACAGGCTGGATCCTGAGGACAGCTCTACTTTGTGCCACACATTCAGCAGTGCCATGTAGCTGGTGCTTTTAGTCAAGTTATCCTGGAAGCTGCCTGGTCCGGCCAAATGCCGCTGGCCTGTCGGAATGTTCCCTTCCCTCCACTCTGGAATGGGAGAGGAGGTTTACAGGACATAATAACAGGATGGCTCAATGATGCATAAATGGTCTGGGGAGCAAATGAAGGAGACAAACTTAATGCCACATACCATGGAAGTAACGTATTTTAACGTCAGTGCTCAAACCCAAGGCTTGCTTGGGTACAGCGGCTTTAGGAGGTTGCCTGGGCTGGTTGTGTGCAAGTCTTGAGGGCCAACTTTAGTAACTGTTGGGAAATACTGAGATAATTCTAAGTGAATTGGGAGCCCAAGTTGCACCTCACAGTCAGCTTTGACATGGTGTAGAGGCTTAAGCCACCCAGGTTTCTTAAACCCATGTTTGGCTCCATGAAGGGTTCTGCTGGAGTTATCCTGGGTACAGGAGGTGGAAGGGATACAGGGAACTGCAGCTACAGCCAGCCTGGCTCCTAGGACAGGTTGCTGCTTTATTACTGTCCTGAGGTCCTGATTCTGGACCTTTCAGCCAAAGAATTCCTAGCGAATTAGTGAATCACGGCAAGTAGACTGGCTCTGGGAATGTTTTGGTGCAAGGATGTGTTAAGGAGCTGCAGTACACGCCAAGTGTGTGTTAGAAGCAAGCAGACAGGTAGGACATCCCCCCATGTTACCTGGGCATCGAATTTTCCAGCGTTGTGCAGGAATGTCATGCAGATCTCGTGTAAGCCTCGGATCTCGCAGGAATTGTTCTCAAAGCATTCAAACACTCCACATCCCACATCGCCAGCATTGACCAGGCAGTGCTGGATTTCAGCTAAAACGAGTATTGGTTAGAGTTAATTTGGAGAACTCTTCACAGGAAGTGGTGGTGGGTAGAGAGACAAGAGTTGTTTTGCTACCAACATCAGTTTGAGAGAAAAATGCGTGACAATGGTTAATCGTGCCCGTTTTTTTTCAGGAATTAGGCCAAAACTTGGGTGTATTACATTATGAAAGTGATATCCAAGAAAGAAATGCCAAATCCACTATGCTTACGTCAAACTATTTCACTTGAGAACTGTCTCATGCTCCTGAATTCCTCAGGAGCAAAAGACAGGCGTGATTTTTGCTCTCTGGCTTGTGCAAAGCCCCCCCAGCAAATTTAAGTTCCAAAACGAGAAGCCCAGGACCCAGCCAGCCAAAATTTTTCATTTTTGGTACTTTGAGCAAGTTTCTGGTCATTTAGCACAACATTTTTTGCAGACCATTGGGTTTTGCCAGTCAGGATGTCTCTCAATTTAATGGCAAAGCTCCCACTGATAGGTAAAGTCCTTTGCACCAGGAGTTGTATGAAAATGCAACTGCGTGCTCAGCTGTGCAGAAATTAATAGAAAATATTTATATTTCTATGTGTAGTACATAAAATAGATGTACTGGAGCTAGCAGGTACATATGTGTTTATTCTGCCCTTTCAGATGTTATGTAATACTGCAAAAAATGCTGTCTAATACTCACTTTCAAAAAAAAAACAACTCAAAACCAAACCAACCCCACCAACCCAAAAATCTAATTCTTAACATGACAGCTTCTGGTCCTTTAAAAAAAATGGATGTAGTAGTACTGCCAGAGGGAAGGTGGCTGCTCAAAAAGCCTGGGGATAAAGTTAAACAGGGGCAGCTTTTAGACCAGAACTGAGGATGCTAAGAATTCCCGTACTCTGTGCCCTGTGGTACCTTTAATTAAAGTTCGCCCTTGGGAGCCAGCCTAATCCCCCTGGAACCGCAGCGTGTTTCAGCCATCCCCAGCCTCCCCCTCTGCCATGCGGTCCATTTGCAAGTCTTTACAGCAACTTTCGGTCTAATTTCCACCCGCTGCAAGGCAGAGCGAGGAGCCGCGGATGGAAACGCGGAGCCTGCCGGAGTTCTCACGACCCCCCCGCCACCCGCTCAAACCCAAATCACCGCCGCCGCACTTTTTTATGGGTTTTCCCCCCCACCTTTGATTTTTTTCCCCTTCTACCTGCCCTGAAGTGCATCTGGGGGTGGCACAGGGGTGGGATGCAGGGGTTGTCGGAGGCACAGAGGGAAAGCTGGGGGGAAGGGGCACCGGACCCCTTTGTGGAGCGCTGCGGAGCGCGGAGCCGGGCGCGCTCGGGGCCGGGAGCGCGGCTCGCTCTGGTGCTTGTGTTGGCATCCGGATGCAAACCCTTCGCCGGATCACATGTCCTGGCTCCAGCGTGCTGAGAACTGCACAGTGCCGTGATTCACATGTGGCAGTCCCTAATGGGCATTCGTGCATTCCTGCTCGTGTGTGTTTAAACACGTCTCGCAGCACGGAGAGTGTTAAAAAAAAAAAAAAAAGAAAAAAGAAAAAAAAAAGGGGGAAAAGGGGGGGGGGGGGGGCGGGATGAAGGAGGGGGGGAAGGGAAGCGTCTGGATCCCGCGCTCTCTCTTTGCACGGCTGGGAAGCGATCCAGCCAAGCGCACGCCCCAACTCTCTCTTCCTAGGCAGATAATGCCCGGGGGAGGGAGCGCGGGGGGCGGGAGAGGAGGAGAGAAACCCCCGGCCCGTTGCATCATTGCCCGGCTCCCTCCGGAGGAGGCAGAGCCCCGGACCCTCCCGGCTGCCCCCGGCCCTTCACCCGCTTCCCAACGCTGCGCCGAGAAAGTTTCTCCTCCCCGGGCTCGCAGCATCTCCGCGGGGCTCCGGCCGCGCTGCGAGCCGGGCGCGGGGCCGCGGCTGGGCACGGGCAACACGTGCTTGGCAGAGCCGGGCTTTAAAGGTAATTAGGAGCGAGCTCCGATTTCCTGCGATGATTTACGCCTGACAGTCGGACAGCGAAATAAAACGCCTGTCATAACTCGACGCGGCTGCAGCAGCAGCAGCCGAAGCAGCAGCAGCAGCAGCGAGGGGAGGGGGACACGCAGAGGCCAGCCCGGTGCCCCCCCCGCCGTACCTGTGTTCTGCAGGGACAGGCGCCCCTTCTGCTGCGGGGTCCTGTCCTGCGGCCCCTCCGGCGGGTGCGTGGCCTCAGTGCCCGCGGCCGCCCGGGCGCTGGCCAGCAGCAGGGCCAGCAGCAGCGCCGGGGCCAGCAGCAGCTTTCCGCCGAGCTCCGCGCACATGGTCGCGCCTTCCCCCCGCCGCCGCCGCCGCCGCCGCGTCCTCCCCCGCGGGGTGCCGCACCCGGGCCCAGCGCGCTGCTCGCCGCGGCCCCGCGAACCGCATGTGCCCGGCGCGGCGGCGAGCGCGGAGTGGCGGCGGCGGCGCCGGAGGGAGCCTCAAATATCCCCGCCGAGCCCCGGTGTCACTCGCATGAGGGAGCCGAGCAGGTGTCGCTCCGCGCCGCGGCCAATGGCAGCCGCCGCCCCGCTCCGCCCGCCCGCCGGGGGCCGGCCCTGCCCCGCCGGCAGGTTGCAGCCGCCCGCCCCCCGCCCCACCCGCGCCGCGCCGGGGGATGGGGGTGCCGGGGGATGGGGGGTGCGGGGAGAGGGAGGGATACCAGGAAGAAAAAAAAAAAATTAAAAAAAAAAAGCTGAAAAAGCGGGATTTTGACACGCTTGGGAGGGAGGCGGCAGCCAGCGGACGGTGCCCCCCACCCCCTCCCCGGGCAACTTCGGGGCGCTCCAGCCGCGCTGGCCTTGCGAGAGGAGCAGCGGGGTGCCCGTGCCCGGAGCCGGCTGCCAGCGCCGGCCGTCCTGCGGCACTGCCGCCTCATGGCAAGACTTGATTTCAAAGAAAAAAAAAATTCCCTTTCCGAAGCAGCTATTGCAATGACTTTCTTGGAAACCTTCCACTCCTTTCTCCATCCCCCCCCCCCACCCTGAGATTTTGTACTCTGCTTGCTGCGAGGGGATTTGGGCCAAATACATCACTTGAGGGGGGAAAGTGGTACCCTGGGTGCACACCCGGATGGGCGAACAGGGACGGGCGCTGCTTTCCCGGGGGAGAGAACCCCCCTCAGACCGTGGGGAGAGCATCACCCCTGCGACCCCCCCAGCAGCTCTGGCTGCTCCCTTTTGTCCGGTAGCTGGATCGGGGTGGGGGACACACACACACACACACACACAGACACACCACAGCACGACGTAGGAAAATCCGTAGCAGGTGATGAGAAGTGCCGCGCTGGCTGGGGAGGGGCGAGCGTGTCTCCCCTTGCCCTGCCGTAATGCACATCAGATGTTTCATCAGACCCCGCCGGCCCCATGCGGTCCTGCCGCCCCCTCCCCTGCAGCCCCCGAGCCCCCGGCAGGGCCGGGGCGCGCTGTGCCGTGCCGGGGGCGGGGGTCCCGCCGGGGGGGCGCAGCTAGGAATGTCTCCAGCTGCTGCTGCCGCCCGCTTCCTCACAGCTGTCAAAATGCACTTGAGGAAATCCACTCACACCTCCCCGAGCAAGGGTCTCCTCGGCGGGACGTGACACCGCGCCGCAGGACCATGGCTCCACGGCTACGCACCAGCAGGCACGTCCTGACACCCCCTCGCAGCCCCCAGGCAGCCCCGGCCTCCCCCGGTTTTGTCTCAGGCCCACGGGGTTTGTGTGCCGGGGCTGAGCCCTGCGAAGTTTTATTTTAATTTTTTTTTTTTTTTTTTTTTTTTTTAATCCTTGCGGAGGGTTTGACATCGCAGCGTCTTTTTTAAGGTTGAAATTCTTAGCGGCGGTGCCAAGCTCGTGTGGAAATTCCCTTTTATCAACATGCTGCTGCCTTCGGAACTGCAACTTGCAGCTTTTCTCTAAGGAGCTGGCTGTGCCAGTGAGGATGGCTGCAAAGCCCCCGTGCCCCTGGGATGGGCTCTGCCCTTTCTGACAGCAGGGCTATTAAAGGAATAGGTTTTTCTTCTTCATTTGTACCTCACCCGGAGTGCCTGGCCCTTCTTTTGTCCTTGTTCTCTTACTATTTATACTGCTGAAGAGTTTTGCTATTTAATTGCCTTTGCTAGGTCTAACTTAGCTCGAGCGTTGAAAGACTGGGGGCTGAATGAGTTGAACTCAGGCAGGAGAATTTAAGGGATGGCAGTTTTTCTCTGTTGCAGGAGATAACAGCCAATGCACTGCTTCTAACCAGTAAGTTTGTATTGTATTTGTATATTTTTTTTTTCCTGATGCCTGGCAAATGATGCTTTCTCATAATGCTGTTTCCCTGCTGCTTTCAGTCTGATGTCCTCCTGCAGCCACTCCTCATCAATCTTTCTGCCTCTTTTTAAAGTTACAATTTTTGGACGTGTTTTACCCTTCGGACTTTTGAATTCTGTGCAGTCTCCATCCTCCAGACCCCATGTTCCTCCCTCTGCTTGATTCCTCTAGTCAGGTCTCCTAATTTCTCAGGGCATGTCCTTCGAACCCTGCAGCCCTGGCTGCCTTAGTGGGCTGCTCCTCCTTTCCAGCCCATATTGTATTAATTGCTCCAATCAAGGTTATTTTAACATCTTTTCCTTACCAAAACCGTGCCTAAAATAGCCCCTCCTCGTGTCACTTTGGGGGAGCAATCTGCTGGCTGCCAGCACGTTGAGCATTTCCCATCTCCTGCTCAGCAGAGCAGGGCAGCGGGTGGCACTCAGACCTGCGGGATTTCCCTGCTTTTCTCTCTCTCCAGGTCGCTCCTCAGGGTGCTCCTGGGTTTAGGGGACCTGGTGCCATCCAGCCCTTCCTTAGGGAGTCAGGGAGCTGTGGCTGCACTCCTGAGGTGAGTGCTGTGAGGGATCCACGGGTCATGCTCCAGCAAATCTGCCGTCTCTTGGAACGTGGTGTGACTCGCTCCCTGGCAGCATGATGGACTGCCAGGTGATTTTATAGAGTAGTTACCAATTCCAGTCATTTAGGGGCTGGTTTCCAGGGATGTCTGAATCCCAAAGGCACTGCAGCTTTGCTCCAGCACTGGGAGCTTGTGTGGACACAGGAGCCTGACTGCAGGATGGTGCCCTGCTGCGAGGCGTTTGGGGACACGTTTGAGCAGTAACGCTTGGAGAGGATCACAGCTCCTTCCAGAAGTTCTGAACACCTGTTGGCTTTCAGGAATACACTCCGAGCTGCCTTTGGTTAACATACACAGGCTTTTCTTTTTGAGAGCGTTTCATAACTCGATCAAGGCTTCATATGATCAAGCAGTGGCACGAGCGTTTTGCAACTGCCTTGAAATGGGAAGCATTTAATTGTTTGGCGTCTTTGGGGAGATGAGCTGCCCTCATGACTATTAAGAGGGCTGTGTCCCTGCAAGGCCGTTGCAGGCAGGTGAAGGCTGAGGAATGCTGTGCAAGAGGCTCCAGCACTCAGGGAGAGAGCAAGCACACCCACTTCTGAAGGACAGAGAGGCCGATGACTTCAAAAGGGAAGAGGATGCTGTGGGGAAGGTGTGCCAAGGTCTGCATTCTGGGCTTTCTATCTGTGACTAACCACATTTCACACTAGAGTTAGAGTGAGCTGTGCTGTGCAGCCCCAGCAGCGCAGTGGGATTTCATCAGACTCGAGGAAAATAAGCAAGACGGGGGAATTCAGTGTTGCCTCTTCTCCTGGGTAATTTTCCCACCTCGAGGCTTAGTGCAAGGTGCTGACTTGCAAATGACACATCATTACGAGGCCAGCCCGGAGCTGCAAAGCCCTGCTGGGAACGTGGTCAGGAGATCGGGGGAAGCTGCCTCTTGGACTTGGTTCCTCCTGGTGTGGGACCTGCTCTGGGAACATGTTGATTTAATTCCCACAAGCTGGTTCTCGGATGGTGCGAATAAAGCTGCTGACAGTGACTGAAATGGGATTCGACACTGGAGAACCTGTTAGGCTCAGTAAATGTAGGTCTGTTGGGAGGCTTCAAAGGGTTGTATTTTAAGCCACTTTTCCCCTCTCATCATCGATTTTGAATTTCTGGTAACTAGTTTTTATGAGGAACGAGCAGAAGTTGACAATAAAGTCACAGAAAATGAAATGCATGAAAAGCCAAAGCTAACTATATTAAAAATGACACATATATTCTCTTCCTGATTGCTTGTGTAAAAATCATGTATTTGAGAAATGTTCTCAATGAGTTATGCACAGGTTTAAAGCTGATGTGGCTTCTTTGATAAAATATGAACCATTGGAAAGATTTATAAGAGTCAGAAATGCTGCAGAATATTTCAGTATTTAGAGTGACAGGAAACCACTCTGAGATATTTTTAAAACAGGTATTTACTCAAGTAATTGGTTACTTTTAATGTGGAATAATAAAACCTGGTGCAGCTCTATTGGACTTGACATAAAAGACAGGTATGTAATTTGTGAGCAAAACAGGGTGGAATGTACACATTGTACCTGGGGAGGTATTTCAAGAAAGACAACTCCTTGAGACAAAAAGCCAAAACAACTGACACGCCGGGTTACATGCCAGAATTGCTTATTCCTCAGTTAATCAGCTGTGTAATGAGTGTCCAGAAACAATCCCTTCTGCCCAGGTAGTTTAAGTTTCAAACTTCGTCAGCTTTGTGGCTGTCATAAAATGGATTACATGGAAGTTGGACCAAAAACACATGTTTCTGAGAACATTTTGGTTCAAATAATAATAATAATAATAATAAAAAAAATGTGGCAATGCCTGCGCCAACAATTTACTACAGAATATCTGAACCAGATGCTGTTAAACTATAATTCCAAACAATTTGCCAGAATTATATATTTACTTTATTCCTAAAGTCAAACTGAAGATATGCATGTTTTCTATTACTGGTGGATATAAACAAAAATGTGATGAGATTACAACTCATATAAGGCAGATAATGCCCAACAGTCAGGATTTCTGGGACTACTGCACGAGCTAAAGAAAAACTGGAAGTTCTGTTGGTAATTATGTGTGACAGGCTCATCGAAATGGGGCTGTTCAGACTGAGACATATCAGACTGCAGTCTGCTTAGTCACCACAGAAGAGCTTTGGCCAAAAATCATCTATTTCTCCCTTTTTCTCACAGTACTACATTTATTTTCTGCCCTGAGAGAACAGGGAAGAGATCTGCAAGACGTGGAGAGTTGCATTCTTAGCTAAAATAATGCATGGAAGGGTCTCCTGTTAGGAGATACTTGCAGGGCATCTCCAGCTTGCCAGTTCTTATGCTGATGAGCTGCTCAGTGATGGCTGAAATGACAGACCCTGACGTCAGAATCAG